ACATTTAGAGTTAGATTTTGTGCAGGGAGATATGTATCTGTCTGATTTCTTTTAATTACTGACCTAGGCCATGCAGGCTTTCTTCTTAAGCACACTGGGAGTGGGGGAGGGGTGTCTAATTGATTCAAGAAGCAAACTGTGGTGGGTTGGAGGGGGACACCACACAACTCGGACAAAAGTGGTAAAATGTTTTTAAAAAGGGGACTGAAATAGCACAGACCTGCCATCGTCGCCTCCCTCCCTCCCTCCATCCCACTCCCCTAGTCTCACATCAGTGTGGTTTTGTAACTGGCTGGCCAGTGACACTCTGTGATCTGAGCCTCCACCTTAGAGAGTGATTCGCCCGTTTTTCATAGCTTCCTGTCATACTTTCGCTTTTGTCGTCTGAGTGGGTCTGCCGGCCATCCCTGATTTCACTGTATCCCGGGGGAGGCCAGCGTGTCTCTGCCGGCGTAATAACGGCCGGTGGCATTTGTGCCCCTCGCACGAGACTGTGGGTGAGATCCATACCCTACTGTCAATTTGTTGCACCCCCCGCCCGCCCCTGGAGCATGAGCCTGGCAGGACCCTCTGCCTGCTGCCTGAGTGTGGGAGATGATCGATCAGATGTAGAGGGTCGTAGGGCGACACCTAGTGGTGGCAATTTTGTGCAACATGCCTAGTTCCCCGGGCACTCAGCGACAAGGGCCGCAGCGAATCGCCTGCAGTCAGGCAGCCAGAGTGAAGAGAGTCCAGGCAAGATGGCGGGTATGTCCCAGAGGCAGTGGGAATGGTGAGAACGGTCTCTGTGTAGGAGATTGCACCTGTAGACTAAAGGATGGCTTGGTGGCTGTTATGCGTGCAACACGGGCAAGTTGCAGGATTGGTGGTGGCTTGAGCTGGTCGACCAGAAGGCTTAATTCCTTCACGATACCGCCATCGGTCCCCAGCCGTGGTCTCGGCGACCCGAGGCCGAGAGGAGGCGCTGTCCCTGGCTTCTCTAGGGCCAGTGCCCGGGATTCTCCGTGATCTCCGTGCACTTCTGGCCCTTCTTCCCATCTGCAGGAGCCCTGGGTCCCTGGCGGTTGTCTTGGAGTCCTGAGGGCAAGAGGGGGCAGTGGCCTGTTCCTCTCTACCTGTCAGTTCCAGGTTCCTCATATGGTCAGAATTTTTCCTCCACTTGTCCTCCCATCCTGGGCTGTCCATATCGGGGTCCTTGACCAAAACAATGCTGTGTGCCTGCCTTTCCTGCATGTCCACCTCCATGTCGTCTTTGTATTTTTATTATTATTATTGTTGGTGTCAGTATTTTATTATTCTTGTTGTTATTATTATTACTATTGTTTTTGTTATTATTGGTATTGGTATTATTATTATTTTTATCATTATTGTTTTTGTTCTATGACTATTATTTCATTATTGTTATTTTTTCGTTGTTGTTATTTATTATTGTTATTATTACTATTGTTTTTGTTGTTATTGTTATTACTATCATTATTAGTATTTGTATTGTTCTATGGTTATTATTTATTTTTGTTATTGTTATATATTTGTCGTTAAAGTTATTTTATTATTGTTATTTCTATTATTATTACTATTGCTTTGTTGTTACTGTTATGGTTGGTAATATTATTATTATTGTTGTTGTTCTATGGTTATTATTTATTTTGTTTATTGTTATAAATTTGTCATTGTTGTTATGTTATTATTGTTGTTATTATTATTACTATTACTAGTTTTTCTTAGTATTGTTATTGTTACTATTATTGTTTACATTCTTGTTGTTCTTCTATGAGTATTATTTATTTTTGTTGCTGTTGTTAAATTGTTGTCATTGTTGTTAGTTTATTAATAGTAGTATTGTTTTGCTATTATTTTTATTGTTGTTACTATTATTAGTATTATTCTTTGTTTTCTATGATTATATTTTAATGTTGGTACTGTTGTTATATTTTTGTTATTTTATTACTATTGTTCTTATTATTACAATTGTTTTGTCAATATTGTTATCATATGTTATGATTGTTATTGTTGTTACTATTATCATTTTTATCTTTATTGTTGGTGTTCTAAGATTATTATTTTCTTTTGTTATTTTATTATTATTGTTTTCAGTATTATTGCTATAGTGTTTGTTATTGTTGTTACTATTATTTTTCATTATAATTGTAGTTGTCCTATGATTATTATTTATTTGTGTTATTGTTATATTTTGTCATCGTTACTTTACCAATATTGTTGTATTTAGTACTATTGTTTTTGTTATTGTTATTGTTGTTACTATTATTATTTTTATTATTATTGTTTTTCTATGATTATTTGTTATTGTTATATTTTTGTCATTGTTGTTATTTCATTATTATTGTTAGTATCATTACTATTGTTCTTTTCATTTTTGTCATTGTTTTGTTATTATTGTTATCGTTGTTATTATTATTATTTTTATCACTATTGTTGTTATTCTACTATTATTATTGTTTTGATTATTACTATTTTTTATTATTGTTATTATTGTTGCTATTATTACTTATATGGTTTTTGTTGTTCTTTTATGATTATTATTTATTTTTTATTGTTATATTTTTGTCATCGTTGTTTTTTATTATTACTATTGTTATTATCATTGCTTTTGTTGTTATTATTATTTTCACCACCCTGGCTGCTATTGCCATTGTTCACCGGTACTTTACTATTATCTTTGTCATCCTCACCGTCGCTATTGTTTGCCCCACACACTGATTCCCACCCACCCACCGGCCAATCCCGGCCCCATTTACCCCCCAGGTGAAGCACCACTAATTGCTCCCTGGGGAAATTAATCGCCCCCTATTCTTCTGTATCATTTCCCCCACCACCCCATGCTTGCTCTGCTCCCCCAGGGCCCCAAGTGACAAATAAAAACAAATAGACGAATAATAATAATAAATAAAGCAATAATAAACAAACAAATGAATAAATTAACATAAATAATTGAACAACAACAATGTTAACAGTAACAAGAATAACGAAGAAAGGAACAATAATCGTAACAACAACAATGATATTAAAACAACAACAAAAACAAGAACAATAATGCCAGTGAGTAATTATAACAGAACAACAACAATAACAATATCAACAATAGTAATAATAACAACAACGACAATAAATTACTGCGATTAATGATGAATGAACACAGCAGCGTCAGTTTTAATTCAGCCCAAGGCATCTACACAACAGCAAAGTTTTCTTGAGTGATGCATGGCAGGGTTAGGTTTCTTCACAATCTGCCTTCTCTCAGGTCCAACGAACAAACTTCTCAACAAAAACAACAACAAAAATAATAACAAAACAATAACAACTACATAACATAAAAAATAACAATAATAACAATGAAAATAATAATAACAGACAAGAACAACAACAATAAATAATAACAAAAGAAACAGCACAACAACAATAATAATAAGGCAATAACAACAACAATAAAACAATAACAACAAAACAACAATAATAATAACAAAGAAACAACAAGAACAACTACAACAATAATAATAAATAAACCACAACAACATTAATAACAAAACAATAACAACAACAATAATGATGGCATCCAGTGACTCAAACCCTGGCTTTCTGATGCTGGTTCCACCAGCCAAGTGTTACTGCATGGCCAACATTTCTGACCCGGCCAGCGCAGTATAGTTATGTCACAATTGTGATGTCATAGTGCACTATAGTGATGTCACAATGCATAATTGTGATGTCACAGTGCACAATAGTGATGTCACAATGTATAATTGTGATGTCACAGTGCATTATAGTGATGACACGATGCATAATTAGGATGTCACAATGAAGCATAGTGATGTCACAAGGCATAATTGTCATAGTGCAGTATAGTGATGTCACAATGTATAATTGTGATTTCATAGTGCACTATAGTGATGTCACAATGCAAACTTGTGATGTCATAGTGAAGTATTCTGATGTTGCAATGCATAATTGTGATATCATAGTGCAGTATAGTGATGTCACGATGTATAATTGTGATGTCATAGTGCAGTATAGTGATGTCACGATGTATAATTGTGATGTCATAGTGCAGTATAGTGATGTCACAATGCATAATTGTGAGGTCATAGTGTAGTATAGTTATGTCACAATGCATAATTTTCATTTCATAGTGCAGTATAGTGCAAATAGTTTCTCTGATGTTTATAAAGAATCTGGCTCTGTATTTCTGCTGTGGATGCCTTACCATTATGAACAAATTTCATATTATATGTACTGAAATATTCTTCCTCTTTTATTGATACTCATTGCAAAATATTCTTATAGAATCATCTAGCAGATTATTTGAATTTATGTCTTGACATTTGCAAATGGTTCTCTTTGATACCATAGAAAGGAAAAAGGTCTTCAAGTATAGAGTCATCCATGCAGACTTCCTTGTTAAATCAGTGTCCTATTCAAACAGAGGCACATACAAAGTAGGGACTTGACATTCCCAACCAGGAAATGAAATCACATCCAAAATTAGCATTTTTTGAGTTCCATGTGCATAGTTGTAAATACTAACATTTCAAATTGAAATTTTTACCCAGCATTAAATTTTCAACTGAGAAATATGCACTGTCAAGTAAATATAGCATTCTAAATAGTGTTTTGACATATTTGTGGAAAACAACTTTTATCCCACCACTGGTGAGGCAAAGACAGTTGGATCTCAGTGAGATACAGGGTATCCCTTCAGTAAACTGATTTCTACTTCAACCTGGGCTTCGTGGTGAGAATATTTCTCTGAAAAAAAAGAAAAAAAGAAATTTGTATTTTTGTGCTGAGTCCTTAATGTTGCACTCTTGAGCCTGTTTCATGGTACCAGGCCACAGTATTTTCCCAGTTAGAAAAGGAGTTTTAAACCAGGTGGTGTTGACACAGGTCTGTAATCCAGTTTTTCAGTATTATCCGGGTATCTGATTCCATGTTTATTAACATGAATTAGAATTCTCGAGAACACGAGGTCTGATTCTGAGACCACCATGGCCAAGAAAATGGATATGTCTTTGGATGACATCATTAAGCTGAACCGGAGCCAGCAAGGCAGTGGCGGCAAAGGCCATGACTGGAGCACTGCCGGCTACGGTGGTGTCATGCAGGCCCCTGTGTGGGGGAATCGACGCAGCAGGTCTCTGAGGAACCGGCCTACCATGAGTGGTGGCTCTGCAGGAGGAGGCAGGAACCAGCCGGTTCCCTACAGCAGGCCTAAACAACTTTCCAACAAGTGGCAGCATGACCTATTCGACAGCCATTTCTGTGGTGGAGCCAGCATGGAGATGGGCAGAAAGCTGTTGGTGTCAAACCTTGACTGCGGGGTGTCAGACGCGGAAATTCAGGAACTCTTCTCAGAGTTTGGAACACTGAAGACAGGAGCTGAGCACTATGATCGCACCGGACAACGTTTAGGGACAGCACATGTGCACTTTCAACAGAAGGCAGATGCCCTGAAGGCTATGAAACAGTACAATGGTGTCCCTTTAGATGGCCCCTCCATGAACATTCAGCTTGTCACATCACAGACTGACTCACAAAGAAAACCTGCACAGAGAATGAACAGAGGTGCCATGAGGAGAAACCATGGCTCAGGGTGTTTTGGTGGTGGCCTCATCCGGAGAGGGACCCGTGGAGGCAGCATTGGAAGAGGTAGAGGTACGAGCAGGAACTCAAAGCAGCATCTTTCTGCCGAGCAGTTGGATGCATAGCTGGATGAGTACAATGCACAGATGGACACCAGTTAAACAGCCGGGCAAATCCACAGAAGTGACAGGACCCAGAAGCTTCGTCCGTAATCCCTAGAGGGAGAGTTGGCAACTGGACTGTGCGGACAATTGTGTTTTTCTTTTTCGCTTGTCTCTCTCTCTTTTTTCCCAGTTTTCAAATGGGATCTAAAAACTCATATAAAGCCTTTTATTTCTCTTTTTTTAAATTCTGAAACAGACCTGTTTTTTACCGAGTTATTTTGGCGATCAGTTTTACTGGATACTGTTGTGGAGAAAGTGGCATGTTCACCTTTGCCATAATAAACTAGAATTGTGTGTGGGAAAGAAAATAAAAATAAAATTCTGGCTACAAATCCTATTGTGTTTTAGTTTGTTGTGAGCTGACACCTAGTGGTGAGACTGTAATTCCCACAGGAGGAGGGTCAATGCCTGTAGCCTGCTCAGGGGGATTTTTACAGAGAATGGTTGTGGCAGAGTTGCAGCAGTCTGCTTTCTGTGGGTGAGAACAGTTTGCTTGCTGTCTCCCTTGCTCCTCCTGAGGGTTTCTTGGAAAATTACTTGTTAAGTGTATTTCTTTCTGGCAGATTTTCATTAAATTTGGTCTGTAGTAAATTAAATAATTCATTTTGTGTGCTTTTGTGATCCCAAACATTCAGTTTCATTTCTTCTCCTGAGGTTTGACTGGGAAGTGATTGGAATTAGCGTTCAAGTTACACTCACTGAAGGTGGTTTCTAGGTATTTTCAGTGTTATTCCTGTTTATGTTAAATGGGGAATCACTTGTAGAGTCCTATATCTTTAACTACTTGAGTACAGTTCTGTGTTAACATTCCAGGTACTTTCCTTCTGAATGATCTCTTTCTCATGTTGGGGGCAATTAATCCCCCAGATCTGCTCACCTGCGGATAGAAACAAATAGTTCTAGAAAATGGAGAGGGAGGAGACATTAGTGAATGATCTGGTGGGACACAATTCAGTTTTCCCTGCATTCTGTTTTACTAGAAATAATTCTATAGACTTTCAATGAGAAAGATCTCAGAATTATCCTGCTATAGCTATGAGAACACTTTCTACATAAGAATTGGTACTAGTTGGAAAATCAATCTTATATGAATATTCATGTGAGTCATGCATAGTGCATTTAGGTTCTCCTTCAAGATATATCCTTCCCTAATGCTCAGAAATAGGCTAGGCTTCCAGTTCCAGAAATAACTTTCCTGTGGTTGAGAACTCCTTAAGTCCAATTATAAGCTGTTGGTTACCACCAATGTATGTGTGCTGCTCTTGCAACCTTCAGGTTATCATGCAGTGCAGACCATTGTTATGGTTCATAATTTTCATACCTGGGAAGGGCTGTTGGCTTTAAAAGTTTACAGATTTCCTTATGATACCAAGAAAGCTAGTTGCCATGGTGGAGACTTTAAATTCTTGTCCACATCAAGACTTCTGGCTCTGACTGAAGCACATGGCTTCTTCAGCATAGGGCTCACCTGCTACTTCTGGGAGGCAAAGGGGACAACCACAGTAGACTGTACTGTTTTTGAAATGTCAAGAACATCAGTGACCAACAATATCAAACAGGATGCTGTGGTTGCTTTGTAAGAATGTCCATGGCCCTTATGAAGAGCATCATGAGGTAAGACTGTATATGCTTATAGACACATAGATGTATTACAGCCATATTTATAGATGATAATATTTAGAAGCATTAAAACCTTTTCATACATCCTTACTGTTATTTTATTCTCTCTTCTTTTTTATTTATGTCTATCACTTCTCCATTAATCACACATGCACACACACACACACACACACACACACACACATTCAATCATCATTTTAAGAGTATCATGTCCTGTTTTTTCTACTGCCCATTATTCCCCTACTCCATACAGGAGTCTCCTTTTATTTTTTGAATATTCCGGTTACTTCAGGTTGTGTACTCACTTTTAAAGCTTGGAGCTAAGAACTTCCTATAAGAGAGAAGATGCCCTCTCTGTTTTTCTGGGTCTGAGTGTATCCACTCAACATGATCTTTTCTTGGTCCATCTATTTAGCAGAAAAGCTCATGATTTTAATTCTCTTTAGAGCTGAATAGTGTTTCATAGTATATGTGTACCACATTTTCACTATCTATTCGTCCAGTTTAGAGATATTTAGGATGCTTCCATTTTGTGGCTATTGTGAAGATAGCCTGATCAAGTATTTTTGGAGAAGGATACTAAGTCCTTTGAGACTATGCCAAGGCATGAAAGGGCTGGGTTGACTTGTTAAATTAATTTAATTAGAGGATTTATTTATTTGAGGATTGTCCATATTGCTTTCCAGAGCGGCTAGATTTTTGGTCCTGGTATTTTTATTTACTATGTCTTTCTTTTTGATGTTGTTGCTGCTTTTTATTGTTAGCAGTATTTTTCTTCCATCTGTGTGAGAATTAATGATTTGCTGTCTTGCCCATGGATGATTACCTCCAATTTTTCTGGAATTTAGGATTCCTCATATGAAGTTTATTATTTCCCATATTTTCATGGGTAAATCCCCTGATTCTCCTGTATTAATTTTAAATATAATTATTGTCTGCAAAGTTGCTTTAGTGAAATCAATTATCTTAACATGAATTTTGAAATACACTTCCATCTCCATCAATTTTAAGATAAATTTGTTTCTTAATGTAATAATATAGTTAGACTGATTTTCCTTTCAACTTTAAATGACATTCAGTGTTCTCTGGATTTTTAGATCATTATCTGGATATCTGATATTTTGGTTGCTAGGGTATCTTCATGTTATTTGACATTTTCCTTTTTTTATTACTTTAATTTTAAATAGCTTGTTTCACATGTCAATCCCAGTTCCCTGTCCCTCCAGCAGCCACCCACCATCCCCCCAAGCCTCCCACCCTATTCCCACTTCCTTCCACATAGGGGATATCCAGAGTCTGTCATTTAGCTCAGGGCAGGGTCCAAGAACTCTCCTAAGAGTCCAGGCTGAGAGAACATCCCTCTTTGTGTTATGGACACACAATGTCCTTTTGTATGCCAGGGATAAACAATGATCTAGTGCCCAGGGCCCCATAGGTTGCCCAGGCCTCCTCACTGACTCTCACACTCAGAGGGTCTGGATCAGTCCCATGATGGCCTCCCAGCTGTCTGTCTGGTTTCTAAGAGCCCCCTTGTTCAGATCAGCTGTCTCTGCTGGTTTTGCCTACCCATTCTTTGTCAATTTTTTCATCAACCCCCTGTCTCTGTCACTGGGTTCAATGGGTGCAGTTCAGTGTTTAACTGTGGGTGTTTTTCTCTGCTTCCATCAGTCACTGGATGAAGGTTCTAGGATGACATATAGTGTAGACCACATTTTCATTAACAGCTCTCAGTATTAATTTTTTCTTTTTTTAACAAGAGACTTTTAACTGTTTTTCTTTTTTTGTTTTGCTTTTATTAAATTTTTAAATTTATTTTTCAGTTTAAATTTAGATAAGAAACAAGGTTGCTTCACAAGTCAGTTCCAGGTCCCTCTCCCTTTCCCTCCCCTCCTCCTGTGCCCTCCTCCCAACCCCTCCATTATCCCCTCATTTCACCAGGGAGGGTGAGGCCCTCCATGGGGGTGTCCATAGTCTGTCATTTCATATAGGGCAGGGCCTAGACCCTTCCCCAAGAGTTCAGGGTGAGAGTGCACCTCACATTGTTGGATGGGAGTCCAAAGTCCGTGTGTATACTTGGGATGGGTACTGATCTGCTGCCCAAGGCTCAATAGATTACCTAGGCCTCCTCACTGACACCCACATTCAGGGGGTCTTGATCAGTCTTATGCTGGATTCCCAGGCTGATTCCTGGGATTCAAGAGTTAACCTTTGTCAGGTCAGCTGTTTCTGGGAGTTAAACCAGCCCAGTCTTAATCACTTTGGTCATCAGTCCTCCCTCTCTGTTACTGGCTTTCTTGAGTTCAGCTCAGTACTTAACCGAGGGAGTCTGCCTCTTCTTCGATCAGCCACTGAATGAAGATTTTGTTTCCCAGACTCTCTGGCCATGGGATTGTAGGCTGGCCCTCCCCAGATCTATGTCTAAAATCCCTATATGAGAGAGTACATGACATGTTTCTCTTTTTGTGACTGGGTTACCTCACTCAGGATGGTTTCTTCTAGTGTCATCCATTTGCCTACGAATTCCATTGTTTTTTTCTGCTGAATAGTACTCCATTGTGTAAATGTACCACATTTTCTCTATCCACTCTTCATTTGAGGGACATCAAGGTTGCTACGAACATAGTGGAACAGACATCTTTGTTGTATGAATGGGCATCATTTGAATATATGCCAATGAGTGGAATTGCTGGGTCTTGTGGTAGGTTTATTCCCATTTTTTCTGAGGAATCTCCATACTGATTTCCAAAGTGGATGAACCAGTTGGCATTCCCACCAGCAATGGAGAAGTGTCCCCCTTTCACCACATCCTCTCCAGTATAAATTGTCATTGGTGATTTTGATTTTAGCCATTCTGACAGAAGTGCGATGGTATCTCAGAGTTGTTTTGATTTGCATTTCCCAGATGGCTAAGGATGTTGAGCACTTTCTCAAGTGCCTCTCAGCCATTTTAGACTCCTCTACTGAAAATTCTCTATTTAGTTCTGCAGCCCATTTTTAATTGGGTCCTTTGTTGTTTTGGAGACTTGCTTCTTGAGTTCTTTGTAAATTTTGGAGATCAACCCTCTGTCAGATGTGGGATTAGTGAATATTTTTTCCCATTCTGTGGGCTGCCTTTTTGTCTTGCTGACTGTGTCCTTTGCCTTACAGAAGCTTCTCAGTTTCAGGAGGTCCCATTTATTAATTGTTGATCTCACTGTCTGTGCTAGTGGTGTTATGTTCAGGAAGCTGTCTCCTGTACCAATTAGTTCAAGGGTACCACCCATTTTCTCTTCTAAGAGGTTCAGTGTGACTGGATTTATGTTGAGGTCTTTGATCCATTTGGACTTACGTTTTGTGCATGG